TCCTCCATTATAAGAGGTACAACGCTCACCTCAGCACCGATGCCTATCAGGAAACGGTCATTCGTTCGGCGTTTGTTGACGTATAAACGTCGGCCTGAAGAAGGGCTCTCGATGCTGGCGGCCTTCAGCGGCTGCCCCTGCCGTTTCCCGGGGTACACGGTAATCGGAATCGGGCAGTGTCCAATATTCATCGCTAGTGAAGTATTTTATGAAGCAAAACCAGAAGCCCTTCAATAAATAAATTTTAAAACATTTATTCAACCTTCTTTAAAGGGATGGTGAACCGAAATTTGGATTTCAGAAAAAACAGTGCAGGAAATGTAGGCGGGACGCTACAATCCCTACTAAGGCGATATCTCGAATGGATGGCCGTATTTTTGGAAAAAGAGGTCGAGATTGAACCAGGCCGACGAGGCGCGTGACGTCAATATACCGAGTTTCGTCCTCTCTTCGCTTCGCTCCCTCAAGGCCGCGAGGCGGAGAAGACGCGAGGCCGTTCCCTCTCCTTCTCGGAGAAACATGACGACATCATCTCTGTCAAATGCGCCCCCTTTTCTTGAAAAATTTGGTCATCCGTTCGAGATATCGCTGTATGAGTGATGTTTTGGTGTTTGTAGCATCCCGTTGCACGCTTTTACCGCGTGTTTTGTTGAATCAAAATTTCGGTTCAGCATCCCTTTAAGTGAATCATATGTTGTCTTTTAGCTGCTGGGAAAGCGTTCCACTGCTGCAAGTAAGCAGCTCTATTTGCAATTTCACGGGCACGGAGCGATTGCAGCAAAACGGGTGCAACTAAATTCTGGAGGTGAGCGCAGTCAATCATTTTTATCCGCGTTAGAAATTCATAGCACCGGCCAAGACGAGAAGTGACGACAGTAGATGGACGAAAATATTCACTGTATCTATAACATATTCCAACGATGCAGTGGAATCTGTAGCACGTGTGTGGCTTGTTTTTCTAACGCTGATGGTGTTTTTTTTTATGCACGACATTGTGCTGGATCTCCAGAGCTTTCATAAGAGAACACATTTTGGAAGAGCGTCGACCTCTAGAATTATAAATTATACATTTCTATCCCATTGTACTTGTTTCTACCATAAGACTAAAAAAAGAACAGTTCGGGAAAGTTTTATTTATCTAGGTGTCTGCCAGTTGCGTTGAGATATTTATCCCCCAAAAGAAAGTAGACAACAATTAAGCCAAGTAAAAATTAAAATGTGCCTACCTCTTATGTAGTGACTGCTCACTGTAAAGCCAAAATTATAACAACTCTCTTTATGCGTTTATTCTTCTTTTTTTTAATTCGAATTTGATTAAAACAACACAGAGGACGTAGCAACTTCTTTGAGATGAACTCTTATCAATGTGCCCACTGACAATTTAACACACGTCCGTTTCGTATTTAGACACGGATTGATTTGCTAATGGCTCGACAATAAATGCGATAAAACACGGCTACTTCCCTACAACGTCTGAGGCACGCATCAGAAACTGCTCTTTTACGCAGAAACTTTGAGTCAAACACAAGACAATGTGCTCGCAGCGAGATGCAAATTTCGAAAGTGGCGTGCCGTGCTCGCTGGTTCTTGCACAACGAAGTCACCCGTGGCTTGCGGAGGAAATGACACCCGCCTTAAAACAGTACGTCCTCGGTTCCTATTCCTCTTGGCGGAAAGAAGAACCTTTAAATTTCCGGGATCTGTACTCGAAAGGAAGTTCTCTTATCCTCGCGTTTTCTTCTTTTTTCTCGACTCTCACAGAACATAACATCCGACCGTGCCACTAACTTCGCTCCACAATACGATATACTAATACCGAGAAAAAAAAAAATACCGAGAGCGATGACGACAACAGCAGAGCAGAAGGGATCTGTTTACGGCCCGACCCTTTCCCGTTGTTGGAGCTTCTTCATTGCGCCGCACTCCTGTAGAAAACAATTTGCACTTCTGCCGAAGTCGGAGCCAGGGACCATGATCCGCTTCCTTGGGCCCCTCTCAATCCGGGCTCAAACTCCTTTTCTAATTTCGACGGAACTAGGATTAATGACGCTCGAGAGAGAAAAGGGGCCAAGGCGTCAAAGCACGCAGCCGAGCAAGCAGCCAGCCAGGCTCGAGGAGGCGGCAGGCCACGAGCTCAGTGAGACGAGGAGCTGCCACCGCTCTCTAAAAAAAAAGCCTAGGTGCCCCCCCCCCCCCCCCCCCCCCCCTTTTCCCCGGGCTTCAATGAAAAGGCCTCAACTCCACCCGAAAACTCGCTCACCAAAAATACAAACAAAACAAAAACAAGGCAAGAAGGCCCAAGGATGTGAAGGGCACAAAAGTATCGCCCTCTTCGTCTGTGTGTGAGGGACTGTATCTGCGCCATCCGAGCTTTCGGGGGCCTTTTCTCCCTCAGTTGGGCATGGGTTGTTTTCTTCCTAGCTTGCTTCGATTCTTTTATCTTTATCTGGTGTTTGTAGCGACGTAGAAGAGGCTATTTCAACCAACGGCAGCGGCGGCGGCAGCAGCAGCAGCAGCAGCAGCAGTCACGAAGGCAAAGCGGCAGAAAGATCCAGATAAAATAGCGGGTCCATTTTTCAGACCCGCGTATTCTAAACTTTTGCGAGAACGCGGCCTCCAGAACAAAACGTAAAATCCAACAGCTCTAAGTTTGATTTTTTGACTTCCCTTTATTCCTCTCTCGGCCTTAGCTGCCCTCTTTATCGCCTAATAAAGTTTCCTTTTTTTTTTTTTTTTTGCTTTTTTGTTTTTTTTGCGAGAGTGCAGGGAGCGTAAGGAAGAGAAAAGGGCGAGAGAAACTTATTCACAATGAACTCGCGCCTACCGCTCGACCGCCTTTTACTTTTCCCTCGCTTCTCCTTCCTCCGGTCGCCTCGCTGCTTCACTCGTCGTTATTGTTAAGAAGGCGTCGCGAAGAAAGAGGAATGCCAGACGTTATTTGCATAAATTGGCGCGCTATCTGGGCTCTTTTCATCGCGTGGTTTGTGAAAGCTGCGAGATTTGAGACAGGCGTTCAGGCGCCACGTGCGCTCCCCTTTCCGTTGTATCCTCTTTCCTCGCCCTGGAGCCTTTGTTGTATGGATCCTAATAACTTGAGAAGCGCGGGGAAAAAAACAGTCTGTCGCGGTGTAAGCTTTGAGCACGTCTGGACTTCAGTGTCGCCAGTAGACGTCAGCGTTTAACCAATTCACTGGCTGACGAATGAGTGAGCCTTGTTGTACAGGCAGTGTTTGTGTGTTGCCTCGCATAATATGGTTGCGTACCAAACGTCCAATATTTACTCCCTCCACAACATATACCTTCGCTCTCTGCCTCTCTCTTTTACGCCATTTCACATTCGACAAATAGAGTTCCTTTTTTTCCCACAAGTGGGTTGTTTTGTTGTTTTTCTATGTGTAAGGAAGGGGACAGTAAATTTCGAACATCGCTTTGCTATAAACTTACTTTCGTAACTTTAAACAGTTGCGAAAAATACTGGACATCTGCATAAAACATACATATACTTTGGGCAAGCAAGGTAGCAAATGTTGTAAGTCATTCCGCAAATACTGTCATAAGGAAATGCCTATCTATGGGACCACAAACATGACAACGATTTCTATAGTTGTAAAAAGCCTAGGTAAACATATTTCAGGCAGCGCATGTTGTTTCGTAATTTCTCTGCCGCTGCTGAATTAATTCACGAGATCAGCCATCTTAGGCTGACATATTGAACTTTGGGCATTAATTTAATTAGTTTACAAAACAAACGTAACACAAGATTTGAAAATGTCAATCTTAGTGCATTCACATTATCATTGCCCATTTTTGGCGTGTTGCGAAAGCAACCAGGCACGTTTTGTTGAAGAGACTGGCCCGCATTATACAAACAAGTCAATCCCTATGAGAAAAAATATTTTATTCTTAAGTTCAATATTGCCGCGAATGTACGTGTGTCGTTCTTAATTTTCACGGGCTGTAAAGCGTTTCATTTTTAAAGGGATGGGGTGTTTTACGAGGGCCGAAAATGTAAATGCCCAGCGTGAGTGGAATATGCAAGAAAGATTCGCATCAATGTACAAAATGAGGAAAACACAAAATTGTGTCTATTTTTATTTTAAGGTTTTTACGGGCTGTGAAGCGTAAAAAAATCAGATGTATTACTGAGCCCAAAAATGTTAGTGCACACCTTGAGTGGGATATGTGAGAAGGATTCGCACATATGTACCAAAAACAAAACAAATTTTATTTGATCTTTATATTTAAGGGTTACTTTTCAGAAAATTAAGAACTTACCCCACACATTTTTTCGAATGTCAAACTTCCAATAAACAATTCACTTCGCTTATTGCATGTCAGCGACCCTACGTTTTCTGCCTCTGAATGAGCGTGTGTGCGAGATCATGAGTATTATGCTGGTGGTTGGGAACCAGTTGATTTTGGCCTCCTTCATACAATCATTCCATCGTGAAGTCCACGTGAATTTACATGATGTTTTGACTCCGCAAGTGGGTACCTACTGCAAAGTGCTTTTAATCGGAATTATGTTTGAGTCATTATGAGCCTGTGATAGCCCCATTGCAGCGCTTTTTCTATTAAACCGTTAGAGAACCAGAGTGAACGTAGTACACGGATCCTTCTTTTATCAGTTTGAATGTAAGTATTGGTAAATACCCACGCCTCGACATGTCTCTGATTATCAGCACTACATGTGACAAGTTGGATAGAAAAATTTACTTAAAAAAGAAAACTAGATAAAAAGTTAGTGGTAATATCTCACGTTCTTATCAAGCCCCCCCCCCCCCTTTTCCCGTCATAATTACCAAAACTGACGGATGTTAATATGAAAGAAAAACGGAACAAAAAAAAAAAAGTCTGACGATTCGATGGCTTCCTTTTAGTTCGTATAAATGACAAATGCGCGCTTCAAAGCCATATGGTCCGCCAACTAATCAAATCTGCTCTCCCACGACTATACCGCCGCAATTCTGTCGATAGCAACGGGAAACCATTTCACCGCCTGAAAACTCAAAAACGTCAGTTTTTATTAGGCAGACGAAAGCAAAAAGCCTACCTATCCGTACACCTACAAAGGCCACCACTGTCTCTTAGGCGCCATCTTGGTCGCGTCATCTCTGGGTCACGGCAGGTGTCTTCGTACGGTCGGGCTGCAAGCATTCACCGTGAAACAATGGACCAGAGGCGAGCTGTTTGTTCCTTTTGCACAGTAACGATCGGCGCTGTCGGGCCGGTCAGCGAGACGAAGACTTTGTCCTCGTCTACTTGGTTCCTTCCCCCGATGACTGTTGAGGCCCTCTGCTCCCCGGAGTCCTCAGCCGAGGCCTCAGCCTTCTGCGCTTCGGCTTGGCCGTCGTCGTTGTCGTCGTCGTCGACGTCGTCGTCGTTTCGTCTTCATACTCGTACTCGTCGTACTCTTCCGAAGCTGGGGTCGTGGTGACTATCTTCTTCTTGGGCGGCTTCTTCCTCGGAGGCGGCGGCGGCGGAGGTGCCTTGGTGCTCGGTGGCACCGTGGTCGTTTCCTTGTAGAGGGCTTCGTTCCGGTCGTAATGCTTCTCCGACTTCTCGCACTCGACAGTGTTGATAAAGCGGCACGTGAAGGTAGTCTGGTCGTACAGGGTGTAGTTGGGGCACAGGAAGTCGTACCGCAAGGACCCGAAGCAGTAGTGAAACAGCTGCGAGGAAACGAACGGCGTTAGAGTGCTTGGCACTTGCCCTATATTACTCGCCTGTCCATGTCGTATCTGCACTTTTTGAATTTAAATGCACAACTACCTCAGCAACATGCTTTGCTAAAAATACATTAGGTTTGTCGAGCCTCACAGATTCAGTGTTAGTTTTTATGCTCAAACAATTTCTTGTTGTTGTTGTTTTTGTGCACTGAGGCTTAAATAAAATGTTTTAAGAAAACTTATTGGAACTGCAATTTGATGTTCAAAGTTCCACAAGCTGCACTGAATGGCTAGTACAACAGTTTTGCTACCTCCTTATTATGCAAATATGTGACAAAACTAACATTTTACCTTCAGTTGCAACTGGCTAACCAAAAATAACGACATTAATCCCTAGACAGCGGAAAGAATGGGGACAACAAACAAACACAAATCTACAAATACAGTTAAGTGACTGGTGCGTGACTGAAAAATCTTCCTGGTCCTGCTATCGAACCAGGGACCTCTCATTTTCAAAGGAGCGCTCTCATACTGAGCTAACCCGGAGTTAGACATCAATAGAGTAAACATGTTTTAACAGCTGCAACCAGTCTAATCCAAACAAGGGTGAACGGCCTGCACTTTAAGGTCATAATGATAATGCTAATAATGTAATATGTAATTAAGCGAGCTGGACAAGAATAACGACAAGAATAACGATAATAAAATCCTGGAGAGGGAAAACAAAGGGGACAAAGGACAAACGCTGTGTTTGGAGATTTGTATTTGACCTTTGTCCCTCTTGTTCTCCTTCTCCAGGGATTATAATGTTGTTCTTGTTCAGCCAGCTTGCACCTTTTCATTAATTGCATTATCATCACAAACCAAATTTCGATGTTCGTGTTTACAAAGCGCAAGGTAGGTCTGCTTTTGAGTTATGGCGACACTGGTTTGAACAGCAGATGAGAAACCTAGGCAGTGCATTACGACTGCTAGCCTGGAGTATTTAACGTGTATCGCGCATTAGTGATACACGATCGCGCGCCGGCACGATGGTCATCCATCCATATCGAAACGGGGGGGGGGGGGGGGGGGGGGGGGATTGAACCCACTTTCGCCACTATCCTAGGTTCTGCAGCGCGAGCTTTCGCTCCACGTGCTCCGAGCTTCCGTGCGTTAACACCAGGGTGGAGAATAAACATCAAGATGATTTAAATAATTATTTAAATCACGATTTAAATCGTGATTAAACTCAGACAATTTATAATGCTGATTTAAATAAAACCATTCCCACAAAATATATTCCCGGAAATACTTTTTGTTCACTCTTTGTGTGATATTTGATGCCTTCTGTGTGCAATTGATTTGTATTTCAATCAAAGAATCATCAAGCAACGAAGATTTATATCAGGCTGAACACAAGCAAAAAGCAGTGCTCTCTGAGCAAATTACAGCGCTGAGCTCTCCTTGTAGTTTACTCTTCGTTCGTCAGTTACGTAACATCCCATTGCAAGCAAATCAAAACGAAAAATAAAAAGCAAATTAAGATTTTTTCTAGCTAAATATCTAACTGTTATTCTTTTAGTATGGCTGGGTTTACATAAAAAAGTTGCTAATTAAACTGTAGGAAAAAAGGTAACAGTAACTCTTTCTTCCAGATGTTTGTGTGACTCTCAGTGATCGTACGAATTGATCAATCAATCTTCCATGTTTAAAAATACATCCAGTGATAAAAATCAGTATTTTCTATCTAGAGTGATCTAAATTAAATTAAGCTTATTTAAATCATTTAAATATTATTTATATATATATTTTCTACATCATATTGTTTATTTTTTTTATTTTGGTTAACACACTTGGCCACCAATCCCTCAATTGCAACTCACATTCCATGGTTCTACGAGGAAGGATTGGGATTGCACCAGGACATGCTGGACAGCTGTGGCAGTGTTTCAATTTGTCAACTTTGCGCAACTTTTCGCCCTAAATTTGTATGTAACTTCAACTATTCTGATGCCATGCTAGCCATAAATTTAATGAAATTGAGTAAACAAGCGAATACGTAAAACGCCCTCTTCGGTGCATTGGCTTCCATATCAGCAAGAAAAAGAAAAAATATTAAAGCCCATTCACAGAAAACCCTTTGTTCACGGTTTTAAGTTACATTACGAATCGCAAAGACATCCGTGCTTCGAATGTCGCGTGCAAAGCTACTCCTTGAAATTTTTTAGTAACTCTTGACGTAATCAAGAGTAAGCTCCCGCACTATAAAGCAATATAAGCAAAGGGTACTGTGTGGACCGGCCTTTAGTGCCTGCCATTTGTCACTTACAAACGCACCATTGTGATACTTCAGGGCAAGCAGCAAAGCAGCGACATTGAAACAAAGGAAGCGAAAGCGCCAAAAGTGAGCACACTTCCGGAAGACCACCGACGAGCAGGGCTCCGGATATAGTTACAAGAGTGCGCGATAGCATACTTGTACAGTACTGATTCCAAGCAATCAAATCTCTTGTAATCTCATTACTTTTAAGAGTTATTTCGTAATAATTTCAATACATTTATTAGAAAGTAATCACGAGAGTTATCCGATTACTTTTTGAAGTACTAAACTTACTGGTAACCGTTACTATTTTTTCCTTCCCTTTTATTTAATGGCGGCCTCTGCTTCTACAAGTCTCCTGTTGAGGAATCCACGAACCAAGTCACCGGCAGGAGCACGGTTTACGAAAATGCGTGGATAAAGAAGATAAGTATAGTTCATAATTCGGTGATCTTAATCCAATAATGGACAGTACAGAAGACGGACAGAAAAAAATCTGTCGGTTTAAGAATCCGAAGTAATCAGATAAGTAACACTTACTTTCTTCAAGTACCGGCCTATGCGGAAGATCAATTCGTCTGCTTCTTGCGTAGGTGTTGCGGTGACGTCACAACGACGCCGAGCTCTGATTGGCTTTGATTGAAAGGATAGTGGGTAGACCTCAATGCTAGATGCCTCGAGGTCTACCAACCATTTGTTTCGATCAGCCAATAAGAGCTCCACCTTCTGATATCATCGCAACCCCTGCACAAGAGGAAGGTGAACTTGCACTCCGCATTAATTTTCTTTCGAGTGATCAAGTAATATAACTGAACACCTTTTAACCATAAATAATTGTAATTATAATCGGTTATTTTTTTCAATTATTAATAAAATAAAAAAGCATTTCATGCTTCAAACGTAGGAATCCAGCGATTTCTTGTGAAGAGGAAGGTGCTTATAGCATATCCTTGGGTTGTGAGTTTACTTATATCGGGCAGACCGGTTGTTGTTTAAACGATAGAATTTCAAAACATAAAAGGGCGGTTTAAAGCAACGCGCAAACGTCCGATATAGAAAAGCATGTTGAAGAGTGTAATGGGTGTAAACCGGATTGGGAGCAAATAGTGGTCGTAAAAGAAATATAAAAAAATGTTTAATACGAGAATTGGGAAGAGAACGATTGGGATTGTTACTTGCTGCCATTCTCAAAGTCAGCCGTCCTTGTCGTTGGCGAAATAAATGAGAAAATTTCAATGGATGCGTAATGGAGTTCAGTGAAAGGTCAGTGTAGGGAGGGTCCATTCCTTTGTCGAGCTCGTGATTTGGGATCACCCAGGACAGCTGGTTGCCTGTTATTGTTTGTTTGTTTTTATTCGTAGTGTTTTAGGAGAAAGTTTGGTAACCTTCGGGCGATGTGGCCGATTTCATAAATGTGACGATATTAAGTAAAATCAGTAGCTGTGATTGGAGACGGAGTCTGTGGTTGTACCTTTTTTTTAATTGTTAGTATTATTTGTTCCCGGCCTCGGGTTTATGATTAAGGAGTTAGTTCACCAGCTTTCCTGCGTTTATTTTTTATTTTTTTTATTTACCGATGTGTATGGTTGCAGTTCGTGCATCAGCCGTCTTGTTCGACAGTTTCGCCGAGAGGCTCGGCTTCGTCAGGATCTCTTGACGAAGCCGAGCCTCTCGGCGAAACTGTCGTAATACATGCAATAAACTCCCAGCATAGCAACTCCGCAAGTACGGATCTCTTCCTTATTACATTTTCCCGGTCCATTGTTCTCAAGCTACTCTGCCTCACCTATATATATACATATATATATACATATATAGGGTGCGCGTGTGTACTTGCGTAGTGACTTCCGGGATCCCGCTCTGTACATTACTCTGACGTATGCTAATAGGAGCCACGAAGCCGAGTGCGTGATAATATACCTTTAATTAACTATTCGGCTTCTTTAGTTGCTTTGTAACAAATATCGCGAAAAGCTTACATACATGAGGCAATTATACGCGTGTTGAAATAAGCTTCGGAGTAGCAGTTCACTACAACTATATCAAAGAGCACCCAAAGTGTCAACGTATCATTTTCGAGCATTTTATCCGCTGGTTTGCGCTTGCGACAACTTTTTTTGCCGGGAGCTTCTTGACCGGCATTATTTTGTTCGGGGTCATTTTGTTCGGAACCATTATTGAGCCATACACCCGTGCCCTCCTTATCATCCCGTCTACTAGTATTCCTACGGGTGTGAAGGAGTACCGACACTTGTCCGCAGTCACATTTGACATCCTCTACCTTCCGCCTGAAGTGGAAGTGAAGAAAGGGCTATGAGAACAAGTTAATCTCTTTCATCTGCGTAAACGGGAGGGACTGCCAGAGCTGTGAAGAGATTTTGTGCTTTGATATTCTCACGTCCACTTCCTCTAAAAAACGAAACGGAAAATAGTTTTTGTTCCGGCCAGAGCATACGAAGTGCGCCACATTTTTTTAGAGCGACTGCAGAAATGGTAAGCAAGCAACCTCTTTCCGAGCTACCGGTGTCGATCAAATGTTGCCTTACGTCGTGTAAGGCAACGTTTGATCGATAAGTGCCCCGTCCCTCTCACCCATTCAAAACACGGCGACGTAGGACGAACACCTCAAGCGAACGAACCACTCAGTACTCGACGACGGAGCTAGCGCAATGGGGTACGGCCCTGATGTGCGTATCCCACAGCAAGCACAAATCAATAACACGCGCAACATGAGTCACGTTTCCCCCTGTTCGACGTTTTTCGTCCTCCGATACTTTGCGAATTACGCACAAATCCCGGCAGTCAGCAGGTATTTGAGCGCCCCATGGACCTTTCTGGAGACGCCACCCAAGCACCTCGACGCGACATAAACCACTCTGTGACAGAGGCAGAAGCTTTCTCTTTGATAAGCTTCTACTCGTCGAAACAAAAGGCCCGCCGCAAGTGCGTAACGGAACGAGCTTGCCTGCCCTCTCCCGGCCCCGGAGGCAACCCCCAAAGTGGTCCCTCCGCCGCACTTTGTTCTCTCGCTCCAGAGCGGGACAGGGCTTTTGCGGAACCTTTCAGAGGGGAGGACTAACCCAAACGCTCGCGGAAGCTACTTGGCGAGGCGGAGCTTGAAATTAGATTAGTATTTCCCCAATCCTGTTAGGCGGAGAAGGCGCTGTCAACGACAGAAGAAGAGGCCTGACCGAAAAGCGATGGAGGGGAGTCGCCTGCCTCGTTTTCGGTCCCGTCTGTGTGTCTTCACCCGGCACGTGGTCTCAAAACCAAAAGTCACTTCTCTGATTGCGGAAGCTCTCGTTCACGTGACCGTCATCCAAACAAGAGCGAGCGCGCGGCCCACGCTGTACGCGTACCACGAAAGTGCTCCCTCCCCGCGTCACGGTTGCCTCGGCTCGGCCGGGCTCTCCCGCGGGCTCCTGTGCCATTGCCCGGGGAGGGACCACACGAGGTCCGCGGCAGACAAGGTCAATAGCCAGATCAGTTGAGGCAACACGGGCTTTCGGCGGAACACTGACAGAACGCCGTCGCCCGAGCAAATGAACTGCTGCCGATACATGTTCCCCTCTTGCCACATGTTCCGCAGCCTCTCATGCGCTTCGGGTTTCCGCGCTTAAAACCCACGGCTCTTTCTTTCCACGGCTTTAACTGGATTTGGCTCGCTTCCAAAAACGGAGTCTTGGGACGTTCTGTCTAATGCACTAGAGCGTATCGATTTCGTTGTTGTAGCACACTCACCGTACGGCGCTTGCCTGTACGCAATCTCGAGAAACTGTGCGCGAATTTAGCGATCCTAAGAAATGTAAGTACGTGCCCTAGTCTTCTCGGGAAAAGGGACGGGAAACGTCGTCAAAATAAAAAATAAAGAAAACTTGCTTTGACGGGTGTGCTAAACTAATTTTCTCGATAGAAAAGACAAAACGACAAAATATTGAGTGGTACACAGAAGACAAAGATGAAAGAGTAATAATATACATAAAAATATAAAGCGCAAGTAATACATGATCAAGTAGATGAAAGGGACCAGGATGAAAGAAATACACTTGTCACGGTCGATAGCTGAGATCCGTTGCCTCTAGGGAAGGAGTTTCGCGTCGTGCGGCGAGAGTGGGTAGATGCATTTGGGAAAACGATCTCCTTTTCGGAAATGTGTAGTGTTCCGATTTCGAAGATTTGCAAAACAGAACGTATTATTAAACCAGTTTGAAGATTACGTGTACCTCGCTTCGTTCTCTGAGCAAGTCCAATACGCCATTTCTTGTATGATATACAACGCAGAAAAAAATTCGGCGCTAGATCTTTGTATACATTTTTATCCAAACCAGCTGTCGCGCATATAAACTGGTAGGCGGACGACTACGCACTGACGCCTACACTTTTCGCAGAATTGTATCCCTAATGCCTGAAAAGAAATATTGACCGTCCTCTCAGCTTCTTACCCCTGTTCTCAGGAAAATTCACGATCATGTTGTTAATAAATGCCCACACTTAAGAAATGAGGAACAGCTGTGATGAATTCACGCGTAAACATCGCGTGTTTAAAAGACGTGAACAAACTTCGCCGCAGAATCAAACCTTGTCTACGACTCACAAACATGTTTCCTCAAACATAGCCATATGTCGGCTCGTTGGGATGTTTGATAGACCAAGAACTGATCACGAGCTTCAACAACGTACTTCATGTAGGTTCAAGCACAGAGACGGCTCAATCAGTGATTGCATTGAGCTTCGCCTCCTGCAACAAATAATTTCTTTCAGAGAGTACCTGAGGAACTAAGTTGATTGAAGTTTAAACAAAAAGTTATTCCAAAGCCCGCTTTTTTATTTGCGTGTGTGTGAGGAGATATTCTATGGATACATTTTATTGATGAAATTTAAACGTTAATAAAAAAACAAAAAAAAATGTTCAAATATAATTTGCACGTACAAGGAACGTGGAGTTGAGAAGCAGTACAAGTTTACTTTCATTATGGGTGTATAGAGTTTTTTCACCTTTATTGCGGAAACTTTTCGTTATTTCTTCGCCAGAGTTAAGGCTGCAGAATTTTTCATAATTGCAATAACCAAAATCTCCAATCTTTACACTTTATTTTATACTATTAAATTTACTTGACCGCTTTCTAAAAAATACATTTAGCATAATTATCCGCCAAATAAATCTGCCTCACATATCAGCCTCATTCATATGCCTCTTGACCAATAAACGTATTTGCAATTGGAGTACCAATTATAGTTGATATTTTCATTGTCCATGCTTATCAATTGAAGTCATGGAATGCTTTAAAAGTACCACTGGCGTATTCCCCGCAAAGTTTGATAGCGATATTATGAGAATTTCTCACTTCTCCCCTGACTCTCATTCTACTATTACAACTTAAGGTAAATTGCTCGTCGCCTTCCTTATCGGTACGTAGCCTACTCGCGTGTTTCGATTTCAAGTAATCAAACCAAAAACTTATTGCCCATCAAGCGATGCGAGCTGCAGGCTTGATAAAATAAGAATTACGAATGGCAATGTTATTTTTTAACTTCTGCCGAAATGTAAGAAATGTAAGACCAAAGCATAATGGCGACCTGGTGGGGAACGGCGCCGTATATACGTCCTGACGTGTGGTAACTAAAAATAAAACAAAACAAAAAATGCTTCGCGTTATAGGTTACTGAATGAAAAACACAGGGACGGACAAGTCAACAGGTTTTTCAAATCGTCTCATCCGTTTCTGTAGGTAACGTATAATTCCACCAGCGTGCTCTCCTCTTAAACTTGCTGAAACTACGTAGCGTCGTATTTTCAATTACATTCTTCCCGCTTCGGGGCTTAATAGGTGCAGAATGTCGGGAGCCACCCACCTGACATTTGTGCTTGATGCTGGCGTAGAAACCGTCGTGCCACTTGCCGCAGTCAAAGTCGATGTCTTCCGGAAGGTTCTCGTAGAACGGGTAGTCGGTCAAGTCGGAGCCCTTCAGCTCTCGGGGGAAGTTGGGGTCCGCCAAGAAGTCGATGATGCGGCCGTCGGCGCGCTGCTTGTAGTTGGGCGAAAGCGTCCGCGGGGGATCCGTCGGCGCGGCGGTCGTGGTCGTCGTCGTCGTCGTCGACGTTGGTGGTTTATTTCCCTGCTTCGGCGGACCTGCGCAGTCACCACATTGCATCTCAAACGAAAGGTCGCTCCAACAACAGGGTTTTGTCAATATGCCCTTTTAAAAAAATGTGCGTCCTCCAATGTCCACTGTGCCGGTTATCTGAGGCCACCTTGTTTTGGGCATGCACCCCGAGCATGCGTAGAACGTGAGCGCTGCGTCCGCCTTCGGCACGTGCTCGGGTCCATATGTGTTCGACACGAGTGCTGCGTCAGAGGTCGGCGTGCTCTCGGTGACACGCTTCGCTCAAGAAGAGACGCCAAAAAAATCACGACCGCCAGTGGTGCTGGATGGGCTTTTGAAAAAGGTCTATTGAAACACGGAAATCAGGCAAGCTGGCCAAGAACCATCATAATCTAAACCTTAAAAAAACGTTAATCTAATTTTTCTGTCTATGGGTTAAAATTTGTACTTTTACGCACCATCATGTTTTAACCAGGAAACTTGGATAAAACCTGCATTTGCAAATTAAACGCAAAAGAAGAGGTTTTATTTAGCTTTGAGCTATATCACTTTCTTCCAATAAACAACACATTTCTCCTTTTGACGTTTCTTCAGTATGTCTTCCATTTATAATTTAAATGCAAAACTGTTTACGGACTTCTGCATTAAAGTGAAGAAGTCAGTGAATCGAATAAACCTGTGCAACGCGGAAATTGCTGCGTCTTTCCCGTAGTTTGTCTCTCCACATCGCGGCACTGCGACAGTCTGAAATGACAAAATTCTATATAGACACTGAAAGAAAAGCTCTCTTTTTCTCTCAATATTATTAGGTAACGCGCGTAGGTAATAATATTGCCGCGCGCCAAGTAGGCAGCGCGGCCGTAGCCTAACGGTTATCGCGCTTGCCTCCCACGCGAAGGGCCAGGGTTCGATTCCTGGCCGCGGCTACGCATTTTGTTGACACTGTAATGAGATGCTCTGGTGAATTCGAGAACCGTCTAGCCGATTCGAGTTTAGAATGTTCTACGCGTCGAACCTTCTACGTCGAACGCTCCAGAAGCCAAACTGTGTACAAAAGCGGCTCCGCGTGGCAAGCCTTAGCCGCTTTTGTACAAGCGTTGGCTTCTGGAGCATTCGACGTAGAAGGTTTGACGCGTAGAACATTCTAAACTCGAATCGGCTAGACGGTTCTCGAATTCACCAGAACATCTCATTACAGTGTCAACAAAATGCGTAGCCGCGGCCAGGAATCGAACCCTGGCCCTTCGCGTGGGAGGCAAGCGCAATAACCGTTAGGCTACGGCCGCGCTGCCTACTTGGCGCGCGGCAATATGCCCACCCAATATATAGTGTCAAGGATCCTCCAACATGTTCTAAAAATTTGCCACCAAAGAAAACTTTTTTTTATTATTTTAGTAAGCCTGGAAATATTCGGACACCAACGAAACAGATAATTCTTTCATTTCGTGTTCATCAATATGTTCAATGCTCATCAGCTTCCGAGCGCCCTTATTATCCTTCAACATTGAATCTCTCTTTTTCTTTTTCTTTTCTCTCAAGCAAAGATGAAATTGTTTTCTTTTTAGTAACCGATATTTGAAGCCGTCGAAGGCACGAAGCACATACTACTTTACCACACAATATGGTCGCACATACCCTACGATCATATTTAAGCGTCTTGACGTGACGTTTTTTGTCCTGGCCTTACTACAAATCAGAGCCGCTAAAAACTTTTTATTCTTTTTTGTCGCAGTACATAACATTAGTGGCGCGAACCGTTTCAATTATTTATGAAAGAAGTTTTTGTTCAGTATTTTAGGTCAGAAAAGAAAGAAATACAGTTTAGAAAGTACAGAAACCAGAAAGAACCCGTCGACATACCCGCCACCAAGCAGTGGAAAAGGCGGCGCATACTTTCTAAAAAGGGGTAGTGAGATCAGGCGCCGACGAGCGGCGAGCGTAGAAAGGTCCCGGCTGTGCGCAGCGGCGCTGCGGTCGTATGGGCTCGAGGATCCGACCGGTTCCGAGCGTTCCGAAGGCCTTCGGCGAGCAGGTTTAACTTGCGGTTTGGCCGTTTGGCGGTTTGGCAGCATGAAGCGGCTCCCGTTCTGAACTGATCTCTAACCCGTGTTTGCTGTCTTCCGTGGCCAAAGAAGTGTCATGCCGAATTAGTGCTTAGACGCGCAGCAAATGCAGTGCGAGCCGCCCTTGCCGCCTGCCTCATCCAGCCTAGCAACATATGCTTTAGTGGCGTCCTCTCGAGCCGTCGACACGGAGTGCGGCACCCGTGAGCGCCTTCTGAGCTCAGTACCCCTCCTCTAGTTCACGGTCACTCAAGCCTGGGCCAAGGACGTCATGAAGGAGGTTATTTTTTGCTCTTTCTTGTAATTTTAATTTGCCTATAACTTTTATAATAAGGCGAAATTCGAAAAACGCTTCACTAAGTTACTACGTCCATTGCGCTCAGGTTCGGTGCATATTAAAAACCAGTCAAAAAGTCGTTGCAGGGCCCCTTTAAGTACGATTAATTAATTGGGGTTGTGGGGATATTTAGAGAGCGTGTAGTAGGTCAGCCATTTCAAAGGTGCGACGAGTCACTCACTGTAGATGAGAAATTTAGCCATGCAGTACTACCGCTAGCCTGGGGTTTTTTTACGTGCATCACGCAGTAGTGATACACGACCGCACGCCCGTACGATGCTTATCCAGATCTAAACGGGCAGGGGTGGGGTTTTCATGTAAGTACGATGATCACTGCAAACAGTGTGCGGAAGGCGTGGAAGAACCCCCTGCAGGATTGGCCGCCGGGATGAGACGCACCAAAGTTGTATCCGTAGTGTGCGAGCTCTTCCTCGTACGAGGGGGGCGGCGGGATCGGGTTGGCACCGGGACTCTTCTGCGGAGGCCTGCCCCGAGTCCGAGCCACCACCCGACCCCGGAACCTGGAAGGGGGCGGCGGCGGTGCCGTCTGGCTCTCCTCGGGCACCTCGTAGTAGTAGTAGTCGTCGGGAGCAGCCGTCGTCGACGTCGTTGACGACCTCAACCGGGCTCGAACGAGGCGGAATCCCGGGCGCGCTCTCGGTGCCTGGCCCGGAGCCTGCCGACGATCCTGCGTCGGAAAAAAGGAATCAGCGGGGAACCTCTTTAAGCGAACGTCACATCGCTCGTGATCACACAAAAGACGCGGTGTTGGCTGCAGACACTAGGACAAAATGACCTAGGGACCGGCCTCAAGTGGGTTCGAAGCATGTTTTCTTCGTACGAATGGTACGCTTCAAACATGTCTACAGACAGCTTTTCTGCATGGCTAATGCGACAGGAGCATTATATAAGGAAGGAAGAATGTACGTATGGATGGACGGATGTTCATAGCTATACCCTTTCTAACGGGCGGTAGCTTGCGCCACCTAGCCTATGAAAAACACGCCTCAGACAGTGTGTGCACACTGTCTTTTCTGTGATGTATTACCAATTCCCCCCCCCCCCCCCCCCCAAGAGCGCACTTGAACGAAGGCCACGTGAAGAGGAATCCGCACAGACAATTAGGCCAACCAAAAAAGAAGCGATTCTACTCAACAATAAATGTAAAATTGAGTAGACATATAATTTATCTTTTTTTAGAGCGGGTCGTCCGTCCATATTCCCGGTTGTTATTCCCACATACTGCACATTTCGAAGATGCAGTTAGGAAGTGTAAAAAATTACCGCGGCCGAAACTACGCCCATAGAATGTAAAACGCCACCTTGGTAGCCCAAATCATGTCGGCGCAACCTACAGTCGTTTGACTGCGCATGCGCGTTCGCAGCGCACACGACGGCCAAGGGCGTAAATGAGGGTGGAAAGTGGAAGCTGAGACCAAGGCTGTGTTCCAAATCTTACCCAAATGAATCCCAGTTACTCCGGCGGGTCGTGTCACGTGACAACATAGATCGAAAAACGCTGGACGCGGGTAGATTTCGGAACGCCAAGGATCAAAACCCTTACCCTCGAGTAAGGTCGAGTAAATTTTGGAACACAACCCAAGAGTGCTTCCAGGGACTAGTGCTAGTGATATTTCGGAGCGTCTGCTTATTTCGTTTGTGTAATCACTGTAACTATATATAAACAGGGTGTTCCACGTAAATTTAGCCAAGGTTTAAAAGTATTTTGGTATATTTCAGGAAGACGAAACCAAACGAATAAGGTTGTTCATTGTCAAGAGCAAGTAAGGCTATTTTTCGTACTTCGTCCAGTTAACTAATTAATAAAATAAATTAATAAACTTTTGAATTATTTTATTTAGAGCAAACGCTTCAATGACAAACTTGTAGAGCATCCTCAGAAACGTCCGAATCAATGGTTTTCATCAGAAAACCTCTAACACGGTTCGTTTTTCAGGGCATCGAAAGAAGCTAGCCAATTATGCAAAAAAAAAAAAACGTTCAGCTTTTCCACTCTGGTGAAGAAGGAAGACCAGCGAAGCTGTACTATGGTGGGAATGAAGTAATGGTCGGCCGCACGTCGGCAAGCCAGAATGGAAAGGCTCGAAAGGTTGCAGCCATCTATAAGCGACGGCGGCAACCAGAAAACCACCAAGCCGGTTGTCTGGTTGCCGCTGTCGCTCAGAGATGGCGGTAGCTGTCCAGAGTTCTGTGTCATCAGGTCGTTTGAGGACGTACACGATCCTGGGGAAACTAGCCCTTAACAGCTCCGCAGTAAAAACGCGAAAAAACAAGAAAATTTCAACAACGCCCAGTCAATAGTGTTCTATTCAGCATGCGGGCCTAGGTGATTCAAGCCACGGCTGAGACCGCTGCAATACAAAGGCTCTGAAGCGCAAAGTCATGTTTTTTGTGGGTTTTTTTTCGTAAATCGTGGGTTTTCTTGAAGCTTCGAAAAAAATAACAATGGTAGAGGTTTCTTCATAAAACTTACTGAATTGTATGTTTCTGAGGACGCTCTACAACTTTATCGTTGGAACTATTGCTCTAAATTGATTATTTCCAAAGTTTATTCATGACTCTTACATAATTAGTTAATTGGGAAAAATACAAAAAAAAATAGTTTGACTAGCTCCAAACAATGAATGAACTTATTTCTCTGCTCTTGAGTTCCTAAAAGCCACCAAAATATATTCATAGCTTGACTAACGTTACGTGGAACACCCTGTATATACACCACGTAGTTATGGGTGACGCGGGCCAGGAAAAAGTCGCTTACTGTCAGCTTCTCCTCCCAACACATTGCGACATTTACTCATCGAGGCCTCGTTCAACAAACGCCGTGAGAGGCTATCCTGGAGCGCTCTACAAACAAACTTTTGTTTTGAGTCGTGTCCCACGCACCCAGAAACAAACACGTGCATGGCCACGACTACACCGTGGCCACGACTCAGGGAGAAGAAGAAAAAGTATATTAAACAAATGTTTGTGCTCCATCCTACGGGTTTCCATCTCGCGGAATAAAAATAACAAGCAAGAAACATTTCTGAGGATCACTGCCGGTCTTATCCAAACACGCCGTAAAGGGAATCCTCGCGGGGGTCTCAGATCGTCTTTTTAAGCAAAGCTCCACGCGGGGATCGGTGCCTCGTGAAGTTTATTTAGGAACCGGTATAGGGGTTTGCAGGATGCCTCGAACAGACGCGCATACCTGACGCGTGTCCCATTGCCAGTCAGCAGACTCTCTAATTTGAGCCAAGATACAGCGGAAAACGTCTCTCGCCAAGCACGCTGCTGCTCTTCTAGGGCGGGGAACAAAAGATGGTCTCTGAGAAGCGGGCAGCGGGGTCGTCGCCAAACTCCGCCTCCAAATCACAATATTGACTCTGCTTGCTCTGAGAAAACTTGAACGGCAAATGAGCCCTCGCTCTTGCACGGCCCGCGTTTTGCTGAAAAAGAGTTCGCCCGGTGTGCCCAGGGATTAGTTCGAAAGGCGGACGTGCATAACGACTTCGCTGTTTGTGTTTCGCTGCTTGTCCCGGCCAAGGCAGCCCGTTCGGAGCGTCCTGCCTGCTGGAAGGCGCTCGCATGTATAGTCGCTAACGACGCAGGACGACTGCTTGTTGTGCGCCGTGTTTAGCGTTTTGCGGTGCGCAGGAAACTATGTACATCGGGGATGAACGCCGGTTAGCGCCTAAGCGGGAAAGTAAGTCCTCGAGGGGGCTGAAGAGGCAGAATTTAACGACCTTGCAGAGTCTCCGTTAATGAAGAACCGGTTCGTTAAGCGACCATCCACGTTTCTGCACGTGAAAGTTTTCTTTCAGTAAACATGTGTTGCCAAGTGGGCATCGCAAGAAAACTTTGGTATACAGAAGGCATATGTAGTGCCTTACTCTTGCCCTCGCTGACTCTACACATTAGTGGCCCCTGTAGAGAGGGCAGGGTCGTATCTGTCAGTGGCGGCATTTGAGTTTTAAGCTAAAGTTCGGCTATATATCACAAGTGAAAAAGACGAGCCTCTTAGAAATATAGCTCATTCAGTGTTCTCAGAAGTGGTAGAAATTTTTTTTTTCTTTTTAATACGTTACTCGGAAAATTTACTAAAAAGGCCATGAAAGAATCTTTGGAGTTACGCTTTAGAGTGAATGAATCGTTCCTGCCCGTATTATTCTCGCTTTTAAACTAGCAGCATCAGGTCACCACTTGAAAGTTTAATGCTTCAGCCACCACGCTCTAAAGTTTTCTTGAACAGGTTATAAAGAGCGTAAAGCCTATAATAAGCATCGTCACGTCTAGAAGTAAGAATTACGTCTATTCGGTACGAGTTTCGTAAACGACATGTTCATTAGTTTTAGAGCGCAGCTCTTAGGCGCTCGTTCCCGTGTTTCGCGGCGTCGCCGTCGCCGTCGGCGTAACCACGCGCACTGCATTATGGGACGTCACAGACCTATACACCTACGGTATTCGATTCCCCGCTAAATTTAGCGAAAAAACTGAATTGGTGTGTAGGTCTGTGACATTCCATAGTGCAACACTACGCATTCAGTTTCCCCTCTAAATTTAGCAGCAAAAACTAACGTCACATGACCCCAACACCAGTTCACTTTCCCCGCTAAATTTAGCGGAGAATCGAATTGGTGTTGAGATCACAAGACGTCAATTTTCCCGCTAAATGTAGCGGAAAAACTGTGTTGGTTCATAGCTGACGTGACACGAAGTCATGTGACGTCACTTTCCGCGCTAAATTTAGCGGGGAAACTGAATTGGTGTTGAGGTCACGTGGCGTCAATTTTCCAGCTAAACTTAGCGGGGAAACTGTGGGAGGAGGGGAGAGTATGGAGAAGAGAGAGGATGAGGAGGAGGAGGGGTCGAGGAGAAGCAGGGGGAGGGGAGGGACAGGTGATAAAGAGGGGGAGAAGGGGAGCGTCTTCCGTACTCTCCCTCCTACTCCTCCTGCGTACCCTCCCCTCCTTCTCCTATATAAATAATATTATAATAAATAATAATTTAGATATATAGATATAATATATTTATATATTATATTCCCCCTGTGAACCGTCCCCTCTAGGCCGTCGCGCCATCCTACTCTTAATAAAGTGTAACAACAACAATATATATATATAATTTATATTATGTACGCAGGAGTACGAGGTCTATATTTGTACATATAGATATTTCTTCCTAAAATTCTTTAGCACGGTATATCGCAAAATCAAAATACCTCAAGAGCTGCGCTTTATTTTTGCATTACAGAGACTTGTGAACGTCTTTCATATTTTTGACTCGACCGCTTCTTCTTGAGAGTTCTTTTAGGCGTTGTGGAACTCACGAGGGTGAGCGCATGGCGTCCGGGGGAACTTTTCTTGCGCTTGCGGGAACAAAACATTGGCAGGAACTACGCGCTCACGCCTGTGCCTCCCAAAACTCCGCACAAGGCATGTGGAATAGAGTAAATGCGACAAGACACAACAACAGGAGACGCATCATCCGGCATGCGTATCATATTTGTTGGTAATTACATCAGTAAACGTAGCCACTAAATACGTTCCATGTAAAAAAGAAAAGAAACAAAAACACTGTGAACCTCACTTTGCATAAAGTAGATGCGAGCGCGTACTTTGTACACAGGATTCTTTGCCCACCAACTTAGTGCACTTTGCCCGCACCTTCTACATAAGAAAGCCAAAG